TTACTTTCTTTATAGATCGGTTAAGGAACGATGCTGTCGCGGGCACCACGTTGCCTGGGCGACTGGAGACCATTCACGAAGATGAAGATCATCAAGACAAGAGACATCTTACTTGAACAAGGATGTAGTTTAATTTACGTTTTTTTAAGCCTTCCCATGATCGAGCATGTACATGCAAGCTAGGACCCCTGGGGGGCGGGTTTAAATGGATGAAAAACTGGTCAATAATATAGAGACAATCGAGCATCACAAGTACAGTACTAAAATTTAGTAACTCTAACTTGTAACTTGTACTGATCGAGAGGCATACGAGGATATGCTTGGATTCAACCATCCAATGATGGAATATTTGCAACTTTCTATACGGGATCTGATCTGGTAGGCATGAGGTGCCCACTTTGCTATTTATTATAATATATAGCTTGCTAGGTTGTCTTGACCCATTTAGTGGCTGCCTTGTGCATTTGATGCACGTGATCAAGAGCAAAAGTCACGAAATCAAATTGTATATTGTGCTAACAGTGGCCTTAATACGATGGGATTGGAAAATGTGAAAATAATGGGATTAAAAAATGTGAAAATAAGTGACCATATTGATCTATAACCACATTCATCTATAACCGACCAATTCTCTCTATCTTACGGATCCCAAAAAAAGAAGCAGCAGAAAAGTTCTCTCTCTGGAGTGGTTGATATAATGATACTGATTTTTTTAAAATGTTTTTTTGTTTAAAAATATATAAAAAATAATTTGTTAAAATTTTAAAAATTTATTTTTAATATTAGCACATCAATAAAATCTTAAAAAATTAAAAAAATTAATTCAAACAAAAAATTTAAAATTTTAAAAAATTCTAGTTAAAATATGAGGCCAAACACCCCATTTATAATGTCACGGACATGAACACTATCATCAATTTTATTATTTTATGCCCATAGGATTGGAACTAGAAACTTTAAGACAGGGACACCATAAAAAACTATGACAAACTTGAAAATTAAAAAAAGAAACTAGATGAGCTCAAACTTTTATCGTGGCGCTGAGCACAAAAAAATAATATTAGAATAATGTAAATATGATTTTGTTTTTGTCAACAAAATTGACTAAGCTCATAATTGGGGGTAAAATTTTTTTTCATGAGATATATTTATCATTACAAAATTGATTGGAAAAAAATTGATCTAGATATTTTTTTTTGTTAGGATATAATTACTATTTTGCCCATGAAAGCAAAAAAAATAACTTTGGGTGAGGGGCTTCTTTATCTTTTTTTAAAAAATAAACAGTAAAGTTACAGCCATACCCTTACCCTTAAATGAGAAAAAAATATACCTGCATTAGCCTTGTAATTAAAAAAACGGGGGCTATTTGCGAGGGTATTTTTGTTTTTTTTTTTTTAGGTTTTATCAAGGATGACTTGGTAATTTTAAGTTTTTAAATATTATTAAGAAAAATTGTTAATTTATGCAACGCATCAATATATCATGGCCTCTATTCTATTTAAATGGTGCATAAGGAACTATGCGGTAGCCAAAGTCTTGCCTCCAGCATGATGTTGGAAGCAGGACATCATCCTCTTTTCAGTAATATGTCGCGTGCTCATGAATGAGGTTTGGTTAGGCTATGGTGGAAAGTTATTCTTTTCTCTCTCTTTTCTCTTTCGTTTTTTAGGAAAACATGCCTAAACTTCCACGAAAAACAAATTTGCAATCTTATTGATTTTGGTTATTCTTCTTTTAATTACTATTTATTTAGCTTTTATGCTTTTTAAATTTTGGATTTTTTTCTATGTCTTCCCTAAATATTTTATTTAATTTAACTTTTTTATCCAATTTGGTCCCTTTATTTTTAATTGCTTTATTTTTGTGCTTTATACTTTTCTCAAATATTATTTTTTGTAATTTTATCCCTTTTAATTCTATTGCATTTGTCTTTTCAATTCATTCTTAGTTTTTATTATTTTGATTGTTATATTCTTATTGTTTTCTTGATTTATCTTTTTTTTAATTGTGTTCCTCGATATTTTAATTTAATTTGGTTTTTTATCCAATTTTGGTCCTGATTATTTTAATAACATTTTTTTATCATTTTCTTAGTTTTATTTTCAATTTAGCCCCTAATTCTTTTCTTTTCTTTTATATTATGTTTGGTCTATATTGTTTGGGTTTTAAATTGTTTTATGGTTGGATATTTTACTTCTTCTTCTTTTTTTTAATGACTTGCAACAATTAGAAAATTAATTTTTTTAAAAAAATTATTATTTGACATTTGGTTATTAAACCCTTAACTTCATTGTGTTTTTTTTTTATTTTTTTATTTTTTTATTGAGTTATCACGATCTTATATTTTGGATAATAAATTAGTCAAGTTAACTGTGATTGCCTTCAAATTTTTTTCTCTTATGTTTTTTATGAAATTGATTTTTTTAAACAATTCCATACCATGTTTTTTTAAACAAAAATCCGGATCACTAGGTCTTGTGTTTTTTTTTTTTTGTTTTAAGAAAACGTGGACAATGCTGTATGGTCCTAAAGGTATTAAGATTAGGTTTTGCTTTCTCTTTTTGATTCAATGAGAACTCAATTGCCAAATTAATTACAGGCAAGTGGGGTTTCGTATTATGTAGTAATTACTGATTTTATGTTCGGTGAAGCGCTCTACCTACGACTGTTATCTACCGATACTTGCCCTTTCCTTCTTTCACTTTTCTACAAGCGATGGACGTCACAAAGCAGGAACCCTCCTTTTCCTTAACAAAGCGCTGCACGCAAGTGACAATTTCACCATTGGTAGTAGGGGGATGGTGATATCTACGTTCTATTGGTCATTTCATTGAGGTACGTTTTTAGTATATTTTCAGTGGACTAATGGTTCTTTTAAAACATTTTTTTATTTAAAAATATTAAAATTACATTTTTTATTATTTAAAATTTATTTTTAATATTCACACATCAAAATAATTTAAATATATATATAAAAAAATTAAATTTTAATAAAAACAAGTTAAAACTCAGCCTCAACACTATGTTAATTGTAATGGTCGACACGTAACATGTATATGGAAAAAGGAAACGACCATTACAATATATAAAATAGAAAACATTATATTTTTCTGTATTCACATGCCTAGAAAAATCCAAATTATATTTATATCAGAATTAAGCTTGAAATACTATTACGAATAAAACTAAAGGGATGTGTTGAACGTCCAGCTGAATATTTATTATTATTTGAACCAATTTCTTGAAGCCAGGAATATTAAATGTTCACCTAACTTATTTGGTATCACTTTGAAGAAAATAAATTAAAAAAATGTTTTTTTTTTGTTTATGAACTCCTGAGAACCAAAAACAACTATAAACTTTTGATAAAAGTTATCTTCCTTTTAATAATCAAATATCGGAAACAAACTATTGATGTCCATGAAAGTATTCTTGAGATAAATAAAAAGATTCGTATCCAAATAAATAAAATAATATATAATTGAGCTAAAATGAAATCTAATAGAGTGAAATTAAGTGATAGTTTTTATGGTTATAATTTGAAAATTAAGTTTTAAAAAATTATAATTTTTTATTAATTAAATTTTTTTTAAAAATATTTGATGAAACTCAGGATGTATTTTAATTAATAAATATTTTCAAATATATAATTAAGATAAAACACAAGCCAAACTGCACCATATTAAGGATGCCTTTGTTTACCTTTAATTTTTGTGTTTGTAGTATAAAAACATAATAAATAAAATATTTGATAATACATCAAATTGTATTTTATTTTGTAAGGCCTAAAAAAATTGAGCTTGAATCATAGTTGTTATGAAACATTTTTTTATATGTTTTTAAATTGAGTTTTAAAAAATGTTTATTTTTTCGTTTTTTAAAAAACTTTAAGAGTTTTTTTATTTTTTATTTATTTTAAATTAATTTTTTTATTTTTTAATATCTTAATGTAAAAAAAATTATTAAAAAATAAAAAAATTATTTTAATATATTTTTAAATAAAAAATACTTTAAAAAATTACTATAAATATATTTTCAACCACCACTAATCAAACATTTTATGCATGATACCCAGTATAGCTACACCTTTTTTAAAAAATAAAGCAAACAAACGCGTTCTAATAGACAAAGGACCGTGACTGGTGTTTTTCACGTGGTTTGGCTGTTGCCTGCCGTGCCCAGCTGCCTCTAGCGACCTTGACTTTGAACGACCAGTCAGAATCAAGAACTATTTATTCCTCAATAATTCCACGCCAGGAGGCGCTGATAATGGATAAGTGTTCCTGGACATTTCGAATCTTGACAGCAATGATTGTTTTACTTTTCTTCCAATTCAATTGGTGAAATTACAGCCAATCCCTGGGTTCCGAGCGAAGTGGCTCACATTGCAAGTTATAACGGTTTTTTTAATTATTTTTTTATTTAAAATTATATTTTTTATTTTAGAAATTTTATTTTTAAGATCAAAAGTTCTAAAAACTTAAGGTAAAAAATAAAAATATTAAATTTTTTAAAAATATTTTTAAATCACAAAATCAATTAATATACATAAACAAACAACAACAACGTTGGAGTGTTAGGCTAAAACATAAGAAAAAAGTGATATCTTATAAGAGCATCTCAATGAAAATGCTAAATAAAAAGTTAAAAATTAAAATATATATATATATATATTTTTTATTTATGTTTGTTTTACGTATTTTAATAAAAATGCTAGATAAAATGTTATTTTACCACTTCTCTAACAAAAATACTATTAATTATATATCTTGTAAAAAATAATAAAAGATTAATCATTGTAATAATATTTTTACTCAAACCTAAGTTTTCATAAACATTAAAATTTAATTAATAATGTTATTCACACAAAAAGAATTGTATTATTCATGTTATTTTTACATTTAAAAAACAATGAAAAACTTGTAAAGAAAAAAATATATGGAGATCCTCCAAACTTTGTTGATTTACAAAACCCCTAGCAACATACAAAACAAGGGCTACATTCTTCTTTCCCCCCCTTTTATCACGATCACTCTAGAATCGACCACAAAATCCCATAGCATCGTGCTTGTGAAGGACATAAAAAGCTAATGGGGTGTTGCTTGCCCTTTCCGTTTGATCTTCTCACTACTTCAGATCAATTTTTTCATGGGATGGTGACAAGTTTTGTCTGAATGTTCAGGAGAAAAGTTATGTCCTAGTTTTACAGATTTGGCAATGGAGTCTTTCTTTTTTGGGGACCGTACGTTGTCTTATGGAAGAGTAGAATCCAACAGCCTATGCCCCAAGTTTTTAATACTTTGAATATAGGTTTTGGTGAATTTATTTCACTCGCCATTTTCTTCTTCTTTTTTTCTTTGATGGCAAGAGATGAGATGTTATTAAAAATCAGAGCACCCATGAGAACTCCTATAACCACCGCACCAGCCTATCAGTTTCCACCAGGCCTCAGCCCCTCACCATAGCCAGAGTTCCATCCTGTCACATACCCAGAGACCTTCACTTCCTCACAATTCAGAACACTTAACTCTCTGCCCTCCTCTCTCTCTCTCTCTCCCCCTCGTTGTATGTGCCAATGGTCATCAATAACTGAAAAAACCAGTTATAAAACCTTGAAAGAAAAAGAAAAGAAAAGAAAAGAAAAGAGAAAACACCATACCATGTCAACAAATTCTATCGATGGGGAAGCAAACACAGACCAAGAGTCTCTTATAATTCCTCTCCTGTCCCCTCGAAGATCATTTATTAACTCCACTTCTCAGGTTGCCATCGTTGGAGCTAATGTCTGCCCCATCGAAAGTCTTGATTATGAGTAAAACCAACATGCTAAAATCTCATCTTTCATTACTTTTCTCTTTTTTAGGTTTATTTGACTTAGATTTTTAAACCTTTTTTTTCTTGTCTCTTTTGATAGGATTGCTGAGAATGAGTTCTTTAAACAAGATTGGAGGAGTCGTGGAAAGATGCAAATATTTCAGTATGTGTTCATGAAGTGGTCGCTTTGTTTCTTGATCGGACTGATTGTTAGCCTTGTTGGGTTTTTTAACAATCTTGCTGTTGAAAATATTGCTGGCTTGAAGTTTGTGGTCACCTCCAATATGATGATGGCCAACAGGTAATGCTTTAGTAATTATAGTAACCTTGGTTTCTATCAAAGTTTGGAATTCCTTTCTTCTTTTTTAATCCTTTTCATGTTTTTTGGGAAAGAGGAGAAAAGAATTTGAGTTTGAGGAGAATGGGAATGCTATTTGATGCATTTTTTTTAATTATTGTGTAGGTTTTGGATGGCTTTTCTAGTGTTCTCAGTTTCTAATTTGATTCTTACCCTGTTTGCATCCATCATCACGGCCTTTATAGCACCAGCTGCTGCTGGTTCAGGTGTTCCAGAAGTTAAGGCTTACCTGAATGGTGTGGATGCACCAGGAATTCTTTCCTTGAGAACTTTGTTTATTAAGGTGAGATTTGGGGAGTTCTTTCTTTCAGTTTAGATTGCTTTCAACAGCTTGGGTTCTACAACTTGCATTGACTCACTATGTATTCTATATGGTAATGGAGGTGCCCATTTATGGGTTTTTTTTTTTTTAATGATGAGTGATTTGGCTAATTTGATTTCTTGTTGAAGTTTTTTGCGGAACTCATATCTAATTTAAGAGAAATTTGTTGTATGCATAGCAACAGAAAGTCATATATTTTTGCTCATTTTGCAGATTATTGGAAGCATTTCTGCGGTTTCCTCATCTCTTTTTGTTGGAAAGGCAGGGCCAATGGTGCACACTGGAGCTTGTGTTGCAGCATTGCTTGGTCAGGGTGGATCCAAGAGATTTAAATTAACATGGAGATGGCTTCGTTTTTTCAAAAATGACCGAGACCGACGGGATCTTGTAACATGTGGATCAGCTGCTGGAATAGCTGCTGCCTTCCGTGCCCCAGTTGGAGGTGTGCTGTTTGCACTTGAAGAAATGGCATCTTGGTATGTTTCTTACATAGTAAATGCTATTGAACTGAGCCTTCCTTTTCTGTTGCTATTATTGTAGCTTGTCATGATTGCGATTTTTATCACAAGTTTTTTTGAAGAGTACTTATTTTCTTGGTATTGAAAAATCATGTACCAGGATGAGTTTCCTCATCATTTTCTTGTAAATTTTTATCAGTGTATTCTCAGATGAATGACAGAAGAATAACAGGATGTCCACCTGAGCAAATAGTAACCTGGATCAGCTAATAGCCTCCCCTCTCTCCTCTAGAATGGACTGATCTGAATTACAAAAAATTGCTAAAGTTTGCTGCCTGTTATCAATTGACTATCACTTTCAATGGCTTGTACATGTTGATTCACGGACCATGTTAATTTTATCTGTTACTGTTACTTCTACATTTATATTGCATCTATATGGACATAAAAATTTGCTCCTAGGAAATGTGTTTGAATTGAAAGTCTTACCAATCATCTCCATCTAGTTCCTGTCTGGTTGGAGCAAGATATCAAGGCTTGAAGCTGAAATATTTCTTCATATCAACGCAGCAATTGGTTATTTGGCTTAATTTTTGATGTCCATCAGATGTCATGAAAAATTCGTATGTACTTATCTTCAGCATTAATGTCAAGATATTCTTCTGCAGGTGGAGAAGTGCCCTTCTTTGGAGAGCTTTCTTCACAACAGCAGTAGTTGCATTAGTGCTTCGGGCTCTGATTGACGTTTGTTTAAGTGGAAAATGTGGGCTATTTGGAAAAGGAGGGCTCATAATGTTTGATGTGTATTCAGCAAGTGTTACGTACCACCTTATTGATGTACCACCTGTGCTCACCCTTGGAGTTATAGGAGGCATATTGGGAAGTTTGTATAACTTCCTTCTAGACAAGGTTCTTCGAATTTACAATCTCATCAATGAGTAAGCTCTCTTCAGCGCTGTTTTAACAAAATCAGTGTCCAATATGACAACATATGATTTCTGAATAATATTTCTTGATATTTTCCCTTTTCCAGTAAAGGCGTTGTTCACAAAATTGTACTTGCTTGTGCAATTTCCATTTTCACATCCTGTCTTCTTTTTGGACTACCATGGCTTGCCTCTTGCCAACCCTGTCCATCTGATGCATCGGAAGCTTGTCCAACAATAGGCCGGTCTGGTAATTTCAAGAAATTTCAATGTCCTCCAGGACATTACAATGATCTGGCTAGCCTTATATTTAACACAAATGATGATTCTATTAGGAATCTTTTCAGCCGGGACACCAACTCTGAGTTTCACTATTCGTCAATTCTCATATTCTTTGTGACCTGCTTCTTTCTTAGTATCTTTAGCTATGGTATTGTTGCCCCCGCGGGTTTATTCATACCAGTTATCGTGACGGGTGCATCTTATGGACGTTTTGTTGGAATGCTTGTTGGTTCACACTCAAATCTTGATCACGGCCTCTATGCTGTCTTAGGTGCTGCTTCATTTCTAGGCGGATCTATGAGGATGACAGTTTCTCTGTGTGTCATTATTTTAGAATTGACAAATAATCTGTTGCTGCTACCCTTGATAATGCTTGTTCTTCTTACTTCCAAGACTGTGGCTGATGCTTTCAATGGTAATATTTATGACCTTATCATGAATGCAAAGGGTTTTCCTTACCTAGAAGCTCACACCGAGCCTTATATGAGGCAGTTGACAGTTGGTGACGTAGTTTGCGGTCCACTTCAGATCTTTCGGGGCATAGAACAGGTTGGCAAAATAGTACATGTTCTAAGAACCACGAGGCATAATGGATTTCCCGTAATTGATGAGCCTCCGCTTTCTGAGTCTCCAGTTCTTTATGGTCTAATCCTCCGTGCTCATCTACTTGAATTGCTAAAGAAGAAAGCTTTTGTGCCAACTCCAGTGCCAACAGGCACTGATGCCTTCAAGCTGTTCTCTGCTGATGATTTTGCAAAGAGGGGCTCAGGCAATGGAGACAAGATAGAGGATCTGCAATTTACCGAAGAAGAGATGGAGATGTTTTTAGATTTACATCCATTTACGAATGCTTCACCTTATACTGTTGCGGAGACAATGTCACTGGCTAAGGCTCTCATACTTTTCCGAGAAGTTGGTTTGAGGCACTTACTGGTGATACCCAAGATATCTGGTGTAAGGAATTCTATCCTCGCTTTTTGTTTTTTTAAATTTCTACTTGTAGCTTACACAAATTGAAGGCACTTTACAACTTGTTCTGCTCTTGATATTAATTAATGTCTTGTTGATTTTGTCTCCTTGATCATGTATGTTCTGCTAGATCTGTAATCTCCTCCTTTTTTCTTCTCGCTCCCTTGAAAGCTGTATTCCCTTCAATCATGCTCAATTAATTTTGCCTTCCTGAAGTTTGCATGTGATTTGTACTTGCACTGTAAATTGCATGCAACAAAATACTATTTTCCAGTAATTATTTATTCACAAAACTATTCCTGCTGCAACACACTGAATTACCATGCTCTAGCAAATCCTCGTTGCAGATGATTTCTTCTATCACTTTTGTTCTCCTTTTGCCTTCAATTTACCTGCTATTTCAGTACACCTCGTTTCTGGTGTGCCTATGAGATTTCATATGGGATTACTTGTTGGTTGCCTTTTCTTTGTCCTCTTTGTGGATGTAATTTTCGCGCTTTTTTTTTTGTGTCATTACCTGTAGCAATGAGATCAATGTCACTCTTTTAGTTAATGTGAGATAAGCTGTCTATGTTTTAATGTTATTTCTCCTTCGCTGCAGAGGCCCCCTGTTGTGGGTATATTGACCAGGCACGATTTCATGCCAGGACATATACTTGGTCTGCATCCTATGCTGATTAGAAGCAGGTGGAAAAGATTAAGAATCCGGGCACCTCGTTTATTCAAACTCTTCTAGAGCGTTGGAGTCAAGCAGACAGAGCTCGCCCTTGAAAATGATATTTGTTCATTCTCTTATTTGAGCTCCACAATATGGTATCATGCTATCACTATTTTCGAACTCTTTCATAGAAACCAGAACTAAAGATCAGATGAGAACATTCATTAAATCATTCGGCTGTTTATAGGTAGTATGATGAATGTGGTGAGGTAAATCATTGTTTCATGGTTTCATTGATAGCCAGGGAGACGTTGTGAATAAATGCAATTGCCCTTTAGTGGTTTTTTTTTTTTTTCCTGTTCACTTTGAATTATTTATTTTCTTTGTTTTACCAGCCTGAAGCCATTGAGACGAGTTCATAATGATCCATGGATTTATAGTTTACAGGATGGAACCTGCGACACTTGATTCTTTCAAATAAATCCTTACTGCAGTTGGTGATACATGGTAGGATTATTTCAAGGATCACCGTCTCGTTCTGCCATGTTTAGGAGTTCGAATTTTTTCTCATGTTCAGCCAAAGCATATAAAATTATAGGATACAAGTCTGTTGAAAAACATCTTTCCTACCATCTCACAATAAAAATAATTGGGTAAGTTGTATATAAATTTATCCACAAACTCTTATCATTTTTCTGGCTTTTCATGCTTTGCTTCACCCAGTTTTCAAGGAAATACAAGGAAGGAGGACCGAAAGTTGAAATTGAAGCCAGAAGCTTGTCATCATTCATCAGGCAGGCTAAAAATTTATCTGAATATCAGAGATACTGTATAGCTAGGGCAACGGATGATTAGGGAGACAGATTATTCATGTGAAAGTTCACCATTAATTTATAGCTGACTCTCACTTAACCCCCATGACTCTCACTCAGCTTCCCTCTACAAGCTGTTGCCAAGACGGCTCTCTACCTATCTATTCTTTCTGCAATCGGCTCTACTTTGCTCATACAAATGATGCCTATTTATAGTTGAAAACTAACGCCGGAAGCACGTTTTGAAAGGAAAGAAATCTAATAACTCGGGTATAGTCTCAATCAATTAAATAGTTTTTATAAAAATAATATAATTATCAATTGGAGGGTAAAATTATAAATAATGAAAATTTTATAAAAGAATTTAAGAAAAAAACTAACAAATTTTAAGAAAAAATTAAATTGAAAACACCAATATATATTAAAAATTTAAGCATGAATTTCTCAACGCCTTTCTTTACATTAAAAAAATAATAAATGTAAATCAAAGAACTTATACACATAATAAATCAAATAAATCATAAATTATTTTGTAAATAAATTTTACAAAAAAAATAGTCATGAACAATAAATAAAAATAAAATTTAAAAAATCAATATAAATTAAGATATTTAATATCAAAATATGAGTCATTTATTAGGTATGTCTGCTAAATTTATTTATTAAAATTAATTTGTAATAGAAATCAACACATAAAATTTATTAAAAACATTACACAAGGCTGCATATATTAAATATTATATATATATATAATAATAATAAAAAAAAAACTTATTTTTAACCTAAAATATGTAGAAAACATTTTAGTAACGTTACTAAAACAATTAGACTAAAATTGTTTTTGAAGGTTATGGATTGTTTTAACTAAAAAAAATGTTTTTATATAACTACGTGAATCATACAACCAGATGAATCAGACTCGGACTTGGACACTGAAGGGGATGCTTCTGATTTTTCTTTTGAGAGTTTAGCCAAGAATTCACTCAAAGCGTCCAAACTCCTTCACAGCATTCTGAATTAGTATTACCAGCTGGGCAGTCCTTTTCATTACATAAAAATACTGAGAACTTGGAATTTACTACAGTATACTAACAGGCTTCTTGCTTTCCGGAATGTCATCACGGCCTTGCTTGATGAAACGGTTTCCTTCTGCTTTTACAAGATGAGCGATCCTCCTCTCTCTTTCTGCCAAAAGCCATGTTTCAACAGCTCTAAAATGCAAACCGATCAGGGGGTTATTGTAACTGGACACAAGTAGTTGAAAAGGCTGGGGTTTTTTTGGGGTTCCAAGATCAAGAAATCATCCATTTTTCCCCCCAGCCAAGCTACTACTGGAGCTTGTTAATTCAAGGTAGCTACTGGTGGATATATGTAAAAAAACTTATTTGATAAATTTAAGGATTTTAAGATGTTTAAAATAAGTATTTTTTTAAAGAAAAGATACATAATATTTTAAAGAGATTGACTCTAAAGATATATATATTATAAATAAAAAGATTATGAATACAAAACTTATTTTTTAATGAAAATTGTGATATTTTAAATTATATTATGATATTTTAAGTTATATTCTACTTAAAATAATATGTATTAAACTAATACAAAATATTAAAAAAACAACATAAAATCTTAAAAAATTCATAAAAAAATATTAGCTCTAGATAAGGTGCCTGACGCATTAAAAATAAAAAATAGATTCAGACACGGGTATCCAGGCTAACATTTTATAAAACAGAACAAGTAAAATGCATGAATCTTCGTAAATCCTATGAAGAAAGAAAGCTACTTCTAGTTCAATAATTTTGTTTTTGAACCAGGTGCCCGCCATGCTTGCAGATGGAATTCTCCACCAACGTGATCTTTTTGGAATTCCAAATTGATTTTAAAAAGTTAGCTTGAATGACTCGACCCATGCCACTTTTTTTATTGTTACAGTTGATTCCTTATTTTCTTCGTGCTTGAATTGTATCCAATTCTCCATGCTGTAGTTACTCGGTTTCCTTGCCTTGTGTCCTCTTCGTGCATCTCACCATGGCTCTAATTATTTCTTCTTTTTCGTCTAACCCATGCAGAGATTTTGTCCCAAAAAAGTTCACATGCAAATGTCAATGTTCAATGTTAAATCTCCTTCAATCGTGGCTAAGTTGACAAGGCATGATATCGTGCCAGAACATATACCGGGCCTGCATCCTCTGTTTGGAGTGGTGGAAAAGATTAATAATCCATGTCTGACTTATCTAAAATGTAAATCTTCTAGGCATTAATTATGATTCGGGCAAGGCTAACTAGGGACGAATCAAGCAATGCAACATTATTTTTTAATAATCCTGGAACAAGTGGTTGATACTTGACAGAAGAACTGCAGTGATTACCTCCTCTCATGTTGACATGTTAGGACTAAACTTTGTTTATGTTTCTCATAATACGATCCCTCTGTATAACAAGGTGAGCAGCATATTTCGAAGTATGTTAATAAAACGATGAAGTAGTCTTTGTATCGAAATTAAAAACACAATTTGTTTACAGGTGGGCTAAAAGAAACGGTAACAAAAGAACAGAATGGGATGGAATGAGATGGAATTATGAGACGACCAGTAGAACACCGAAATTTTGTGCTGTCCTCTTACCCTTTCTTTACACCTTTCAGGTAGTCTGCCCTTATTCCCCACAAATGCTCTACAACTACTTTCATGTCTGGTCGTTCAGATCGGATGGGTGCTGCACACTGGATTGCTAATGTAAACATGCTGTACAGTACCTCCGTGTCCACCTTTTCTTCCATAAGCGGATCCACCATGTCCACTACATTTCCTTCGTTGTACTTCTTAAAGACCTGCACAAATTACCATATGATATGAATGACTTAGTGCTTGGAGGCGAGCTCGCACATATTATACAGAAGGGACAAAAGAACAGTGGCAACTGAAATTGAAGCATGACTTTCTCTGTGCCATAGTTAGCAGCATTTAGGTTTTGAGAAATTCAATTAGCTAGTCACACTGAAAAGAAAAACAAGAATGCTCCGTCATACTCTTCAAGGAAGAGATGACATACTGTTTTGAAAATACACAAGTTTTCATGGAAATACTCTGTAGGTGGTTAGATACATCCACAGATGTAGAAAAGGGGTCAACACTCGGATACTCCCAGGCAGCAAATTCAGACTCTCAGTTCTGCAAGAATGCACCCTGGGAGTCCAACTGATCTTTTGCATTGGAATTGCTTGTTAACTGTCCAATATAATCACGCAGCACTTCCTAATGCAGGTTCAACATTCAATGTTAGCATAATATCCTTGTGAGAAATAAAACATAAACTACAATATAGAAGTCCCCAGTGATTAAAAAACAAAGAGTAGACAACCACATTATTTTAGTTAGCGTTCTCAAATGGTGATGATCAGCACAAGGAAAGAGAAACATTAGAGATTTGACATGCATAGAATGGTCCAGCGTAACTCTCAATGAGAACCATTGCAATTTGACTCAGTCATCATGAAGGCTGACTTCTCACTGTTAGTTGCTTTTGAAGCACGTGCCTGAGATTGGACCGGAACTAAAATTGGCTTCTAGCCACACAAAATGTTGGCCATCTCATTTACAGTGGTCAAGGTCATTATCATCATCATCATCAGCTCATTTGCCAAGGACTCTCTTCTATGAGGAACGTTTGTCATCCAGAGTGTGGTAATTGCACATGTTTTGACGTCACAATAGGTGCACTAGTAACCACAAAATACACATTATCAATTTAAGATAAGGAAAGCTTACCCATCTCAGTGTCACCCGCTCATCAGCAGGTTTCCTCGGCTCCACAGGGCGGCGTCCTGTCAGGATTTCTAGAAGTAAAATCCCAAATGAGTACACATCACTCTTGGGGGTAAGTTGATAGGTCCTCATATATTCTGGGTCTAGGTAACCCACTGTCCCTTTCACTTTGGTTGAGATATGAGTTTGATCAGAGTCTACTGGACCCATCCTTGCGAATCCAAAGTCTGCTACTTTAGCTCTCATACTCTCTGTCAACAGAATGTTGGATGACTTCACATCTCGATGGATAATTTGCTTCTCTGTTGTGAGATGCGCAACACAAAAGCAATTAAATAGTTGAAAATTATACAATGCAGAGTACAGGCAGTTAAATAGCTTTCAAAAAAAAAGGTACGGATAGCCATGAGATAGATCTATGGGAATATCTGGAAAGGGGGAAGCAGAACATTATTCCAATTTAACAAGGGTTTCAATCAGGGTTATTAAACAGAATCCAATAAGTAAACCCACAAGAAATCTTCAGTTCTGAAAGAGCTCTCTATGTATAACTTGTTAAATCAAATTAATTATCCCCAAGATAACAGAGCCACCTGTGCATGTACAAAAATTTCAACCATGTACATTTGTATGTTTTAAGCACTCTTCTTTGCTTTCCTGGAAAGCCATTATTCAAGTTGAATTGACATTTCAATACATGAAATTTCTTAGAAATAAAATAACCAACCTGCATATAGATGGAGATAAGTTAGTCCATGAGCAACATCAATAGATATTTCAAGCCGCTGGTTGAAATCCAGGATTTTGCCACGCTGGACTGCAAGGAATTTCAGAACTATTAGCATAAAGGTTGTTGTAGAGTGAACTTTACCCCTCCTGTAATTGCATATGCTTACCATCCAAATGTTCTCTGAGAGTACCATTGGGCACATACTCTGTAATAATAAGCCGTTCATTTCCTTTATCAACATAACCAAGCAACTTCACCAGATTCCGATGATCAATTTTGGCCAGAAGTTCAACTTCACTGCTGAATTCAGTTCGCAAGTTCGCAAAGTGTTCCTACATAATGTTTTCATAATAACCAACAGTAGGCTAATCAGAAAAAATGGCAATCATCATGAAGGGTATTACTGCTCACCTTCTTTGCTCGTTTTATGGCAACCACCTGACCATCATCTAGTTCGGCCTTGTATACAGTTCCAAAGCCTCCTTCTCCTATCTGAAGTGATGGCGAAAAATTACGTGTAGCTCTAGCAACCTGATTTAAATTGAGATGAACTGATCCTAATCTACTGAGTTTTGGAGACTGGGAGAATCTAGAGGGACTAGGGGGCACCCGATGTGGACTAGGCGGCGCTTTGTCAGAAGCAGAATTCACATTGAAAGGGGAAATTGAATCCG